CCCCCCCCCTCCCAAAATAAAATCTTGGCTACGTGCCTGTTATCAAACATGTAACACGACACGCCGCACTCATTCTCGTACGGCCAGCCTAACACTTCCAGAGTGCCTAGTTATAATCATATTTTATTTCTTCAAAACTATTTATAAAAAATATAAAAAATCATGAAATTAATGAAAATGAAATTTTGAAACGTCAATATTTTCAGAAAAATAAACTCTACAAAATGGCTATAGTCAATATTTTTGGAAATAATTAAAATAAAAAATACATTATTTAAATTCTTATCAAAACGCTTAAATTAAATAAAATAATAAAATAATTGTAGTTCTTATCCTTGTGAGTCTTATGACAAAATCAGAATTTTGATAGCTCCATTATTTTGTGAGATATCACAATGGGTAAATCCTTGCRGGACACCCTGTATATATATGGTGCGAGAATTATATTATATAGATAATAAAATAGCACAAACTTCTATAATAAGTATAGAAATCTGTGTAAAATAGTCAATAATATTATATCTTGTTGTATAATGTTAACAGGTTCCGTGGAACCAGAACAAAAGTTGCCGATCACTGGCGCAACGTTTGAGGAACAGGTGTGTTCGGCGGTGCACAACGTGTTCGAACCGTCCGGACTGGAAGTTCTATGCTGGACAAGACTTCCGTACCTGTGCGAGGGCGATTTAAGCCAGGACTATTATTGGCTGCACGACGCCGTCTTCGTGATGTCTGCAAAAACGCCGCCGCAAGTAGTCGAGAACTCATAGCACTCCACAAACATTCAATCATTGTACAGGGTGAATGGGTGATTCTCTTGTTATCGCTATGTTAGTATGTTACCATGGATTATATACAATTATATATAATCTGTGATATTTTAGTTATTTTCTCGTGGAATTCATGTATTTTTGAATAATTATTTTTTATATTTATAAAAAAATCACTCTGTATAGAATGTATTATGTATAAATGAATAATTGTTATATACGAATTAATTCGCAGCGATTATGTCTTCGGTTAAAATAAATTGTTGGAAAGGTATAATAAAAACTCAATTGTGTATGTTTAATATTAATATTAAATTTATTTTTATTATTATTTGTAATATAATGTTATGATCTACAATTTAATTTTATCACACATATTTTTTTAATACATCGGATATAAAACTTCTTAAGACTACATAATATTATGTTGCAAATACATGATCATTTTCATAATATATGTTATATATAACATTAAATGTACCTACCTACTTATTGTACCTATATAATAATATATACGTATAATACTGAGGCATCGTTCAAATATCGGATTACGAAATTGGCAGGGATTGAGAACCTAAATACTTTATAATATGGAAGTCCCCACCAAGTTACGTGGAACAAAATTTGGACGACCCTGCAGTACAAATTATGCGTTTTATACAAATAGGAAAATTATGTATCAAATTTTGGATTTTGGTAAAAATTAAAGAATGGATTAGGAAAGATCACAGATACGTTTTTCTTCAAAAACAACTAACATATTGCCATACTAGTAAAATAATAGTAATAAAAATAATTTCAATTTAACACAAACCACATTTATAAGTTAAACTGATGGTAATAATATACTCATTCTTGTAGCTCAATGTAAACATTTTTGTTTACAATTGCCACTGACTTAGAAAATAAACATTTATTTAAACCAAACATTTACACAATCAAATTGAGAAGTTAATTTTTAAGTATGAAAATTTAAAAATAATAAATCGCTCAATGCGTTTCCAATTAGTGAAGTCACAAACATAAAAATGTTCACAGGAAATAACTATTATGTTGTTGTTTAAACATCTAGATTTAATATTTTATTGTTTAGGATTGAATAGATAACACTAAATAAATCCAAGAGAAAAGATGTTGTGGTTAAATTATTAAAAATAATGTATGGTGGAATATAAGGACATACCAAAAATCATTTATAATCATATAAAATAAATTAATATATTCTGTGCATTAGGATAAWTTAAAAATTTGTTTTAGATGTTTAAACAATTAACAAACATGGAGCTCATAACTGGAAATCATTATAATAATATTTAATTCATAGAACTTAGACAACTATGTTGGAACACTGATGAGATAAAAAAAAAATACACCAAAATATATTAAAATAAGTTCAAGTGATTTTGCAAAATTACACATTTGTACACTAAAATACCTTTTTACGTAGATTGTATATATAAAATTAATATTAATACAAAATACAAATCAAACATACAGCCATACAGAAATCATTAACTATTTTAAGTTTACCAATTAGTATGAAAGATGTTATTGTTGACTAGTGTAAAATAAATATTTAGGTATATATTAGAATTCAGCAAATGAAGTGATGTATTTCCCTTCAATTTAGTCTAAAAGGTCATGGAGGTTTGACAATCAAATAACTCACTTCATTTGTTGAACTAAGTAAACATTTTATGACAATTATTCTGAGAATAAATTTAACTGTACTAATAAAATAGATAACAAAAACCTAACCAAACTAACCAAAAAAAATTTATATAATAATTTTAGATCAGTGCACTCTTTAAATAAAATAATAATACAGTCGATTCTCAGTAACTTAAGCATTTATCATAAGAGATTATTGATATCTTAAATTGGTTTCTTTTCCTATAAGGATTAAGTTTAAGTTACTGAGAGTCAAATGTACTCAATATATTTTATAGTTTTAACCAGTAAACACTTATGTGATATTTCTCCATAAGAAATTCATATGAAATAAAACATTCTACTGATACTTGAMTTATAATATAAATTGTATGAAGCAAATTAGTGTCTATTAAATGCTTAAAACAAGAATATATATATATCAACAGCTATTGTTAATGTAAATTACTAAATTGCTACCTAATTAAATTAAAAGCAATATAATAATATTAAAGAATATTGGGAAATAATAAATGAATGTGGAAGTGCTTACAGGTTAAATTAATTGGCAACTAAAATAAATTAATAAAATATCATTACAACATAAACATTAAACAGTCAATGTATTACAGTGAAACTTCCAATTAATGACATTTTCCGAATTATTTTTGAGAATCGTGATTTTCATTATTAATCATGCATAAATTATATTTAAAAAATTTCTCTAAAGGTATTAATTTTTTTTTTTTGTATTTCATTTGAATTTGTTATGTAGAAGTTTCACTGTATTATTAAAATAAGCTTTTACTTAATGCATTCTTAGGTTACTATTATGGCATGTAATTTTTTGAAACTAAACATAATAATATAAACATTTGGCAACATACATTTTGATATCATGCTGACAACATGTATACAAAAAAAAAAAAAAAAATGTAATTTGTTGAATTATAATAATAATTCAACAAGATGTTAAATTTAAAATAAATAAATATAGGTAAAAACCTCAAACTAGAAGACACTCATAAAGAGACTTTAATAAAATTTAATTTAAATAAAATGGTAAGATCCCTCCAAGTAAACAAACAGATATCCCCATTCATTTTGGGAAAAATAGGGAATTTTGACTAGACGTAAAAATAAAATAAAAGCAACGTGATTTTTGAAAGTTGATAAAAATAGTTGAAAAATGTTTTACTTTTGCAAGTTGAATACAAGCTCTTAATTTTGCTTGTTACGAGACATTGCATCACAGAGATCTTTAAAATTGGCAGCCGAAACGGTTTGATTAGAATTGTCCAAGACAGTTTTTCTTAATCTAGAAAATATTTTAAAATTCAGTTACATTTATTATGAATAAGTTAATTCAATAAAAATGTTTTTATATTGTTACCCATGTTTATCTTCATTTTTCCAGCTACTGACAGCAATATGTGGTGGAGGAAGAAATGATCTTAATGACTGAACTAACTGAATTGTATCAATCAATGCTGAAAAAGTTTTTAGATTATAGCACACCAAAATTTAAAAAATGTTAGTGTAAATTAAACTAAAAATATCTATGAGCATAGTTTTCAGAATACAATTTAATGTGTTAAGTTAAAAATTAATTTAGTTAAGAAAATCTGCATTAACAGTGTTTTATTTTTAAAAAAACTTCACTTTTTTGTAATGATTCTGATTGTTTTCCATAAGGTTTACACATAGCTGGTCTCACGCATGCTTTCATTCTATTCATATTTTTCATTATTTCTGAAAATGCTCTGATAATTTTTTCTTGTCCAGCTGAAATTAAAAATAAACAATTATGATAAATCGTGTTCAGTTACCCATAACATAAAGACTTGTTTTTATAAAAATAGTTAAGACTGCTGTTGCCTGTTTTATACTTATATTACTTTATGAAAGTGGTTAAATAAGAAAGCTAGATGATTTAATAAAGGAAATAAAATTGGCAAAGACAGGAAAAGAATAGGAATTTAGAATAAAAACAAACATGTCTAAGACAAAGACAACAATAAAAAGCAATAAGTGATCTGGAAATAGTAAGGCCCAAGAACCACAGGTGAGGAGAAATGATGGGGACAATGCTTCTGTGTAAAAGCCAAAGAGTCATGCCTAGTGGGAAGGAGAGACGACCAATTAAATTACAAAGTTTATCAAATGAAGTTGTGATGAGTAGGAAGGTCTACAAAAGGAATTTTGAAAGAGAAAAATAGAATATTGATTAAGTCTGAAATGCACATAACAGATTGTGGCTTTTTTATTGTTGACAACTACAAGACTGGGAATCCAAAGAAAAGTTAATTTATCTGTGAAAATATTCATTTATAACTCTTCATTAGCTTCATTATAACKAATATATAACTACCTATGGGTGACATAATAATAGTAATTGGTATTTCTAAATTCCCTTAAAATTTATTACAAAAAACATTTCTTATATTATCTTAAAAAAAAGTTAAATAATATACTATAATTTGAAATACATCACCTAATTACAACAATTAATTCATATTTAAATTTAATGTTTGACATTGTCATTTTTATAATTTCAAATAAATTAATAGTTAGCCACATGTAATATATATAAGATATTTAAGGAGTTTTGTTTAATTAAAAAAATCATATCTATGAAAATAATGTCAAGACAAACGCGTTTAATTATAAAATGTTGTAGAAATATAATGTGTAAAAGAATGTGTAAGTAACAATCGCTTTGATTATGCTAATAATAATAGTATTTTTATATTTAAAGTACCTGCATAAACTTAAATAAAAGGAATAGTTACCTAATTTAAATTATCTGGCAATCATAAAGTTTAATTATCTTCTACTTAAATGATGTAGTATGTTAAATGTGAAAATATTAAGGCAAAAATTTAAACAAAAAATGCCTACACACAATATTAATAGTACATAAAGGAGTAGATTACATATGAATGTGTTAAGATCAGATTCAGATAAAGTTCTTACCATCAAGTTTCAAAAGAGGTAGAATTAATTCTAGTTTTTAAATTCTCAAAGCTGACCATAAGTTTGTTAAGAACAACAAACAAATTGGCTAGTCAAATATTACTCATACTAGACTGTACAAATACTACAAATAAGATATTATAACAGGCCAACACAGGCTTCTAATTAATGCATTATTAAAGTTATAATCATTCTTACCATCTAAATGACCTTTACGGTTGTCTGAAACTTCAGGCCAAGTTGTGTCATGAGCAGCCATTAGATCTTTATTGTCTAGATTTTCAAGATTTGCCTTTAAAAAATCTGCCAACTTATTGTGCTGTGCTTGTCGTGCACTTACAGTTTTTGGAACCTGTGGTACTTGTATAGGCATTGGATTTGGTATTTCAGGGGCTGGATGAGGAGATGGTCCAGTAAGATCGACGGGCGCTGAATGTGGTTGTTGGGGCTGTGTACTAGAAGGTGCCAAACCATGAGCACTTAATTGCTGACTAATCATTTGACTCATTGATATATTAGGACTTTCACGACCAACTGGAATATTTATACCTATAAATAAAATTCAAAAATTAATATTTTAAATTATTAAATCATAAGAATTACCAATGTATTGTTGATAATATCTTACCAGAATTCGAAGAGTTCATGTAATTTGATTTTTTAGTATGTTGAGATAAATCTAATTGAGTCTTGTAATAGCGACATGCTGGGTTTGGACAGTTTTGTACAACTTCAATGATAAACTCTTTTTCCATACCAAAGTTTTCACGACCAATTGTATATGAATCCATAACCTATGAGTTAGATAACACAACAAATAGTACAAAGTGTTCACTATTTAGGTATACATATATACTATATACATCATATTTTAGATATATTGCAAGAAATATAGATTTAGTCCACTAAAAAATAAAATACCAAACCAAAATAAAACAAAAAGTAAAAACATAATTCATAATAATTAAAGATTAGGTAATTATACTCTATCAACTATCAATTATTTCTCACAAGGTTTGGATAGCATGTGCAGAATCCCACGCTCTTAAATATGTCATTTAATTATTCTAACAAATGCCTAACTTGCATTTCGCCAATATTAACAAAGTAAAGCAACTTTAAGACTGCAACCAATTGTCAGAAACAAAATTCAATGAAAATAAAATAACTATTTGTGGCTTAAATCAGTTACTGATTGAGATTACTCATATTTGAGACAGTATATTCATGAATATAATTAATGTTTAAAATTAATTTCAAATGTTGGTCTTGAACAACATGGGTTATATTACTAAAATGGGATAAACCATATTATTATTATTTGTATATAATATAAATTTTTATGTTAAATTTTATTACCGCTCGAACAGTTCCTTCAACACCCAAATGTAATCCATGAGGGCCATTCATATGCTTTAACATTACCGCATTAGCAAAATGTTCATAAGGTAAAATAATTTTACCATTCTCTCGAAGGATTAATCTTGCTTGGCTATCTAATGAAACTCTTGAAGCCATCATTCTGAAAATAATATATCATTTAAATAAGAGAATAATGTGGGTTTATAACATTTACAATTACGTATGTATACTTGTGTAAAGTAAACTATGGTAATATTGGTAATTATAATTAATGTGCATAAAAAGACATTTTTTTACATAAACCTATTAACATGATGAATATAACATTGATGTCATGCGGTAAAGGTAACTGATATAAGTATATAACCTTCGATAAATGAATATTATAGGAGATACCTAAACTATCATTTTATTTCAAATTCGGCTTTTTATTAATCTAGGTAATTTTCAAACATTATACCGAATATTATCTTATGATTCAAATCATTGATTAAATTAAAATAATGCACMATTTATTTGATGACCTATCAATGTAGAGGTATAAGTAGTTACTTTGGGCAATCAATTGTTTGTTTATATCACATTTACCTGAAAAATACACTAATATTTTAGAATAGGTTATAATAGGATTGAAAATTAGGTTTTTAGTTGCAATATCGGGGGTTACATTGAACCTCGTGTTAATAGGTAACATATGCTTACGAGGAAGAAAAGTTAGTTTTTGTACTAGGAAAACTAGTTTGAAGTTAGGTTACTAGGCTAGAAAGGGTAATATGAGTATTAAATACCTACTAATCAATGGAAATGCATTTCCACTAATAATATAAAATATTAACTATCAAATAAGTGAGTTATAATATGTGTAGGTTTCAATTATTGATGAATTAAAATTAGGATGTACAAAATTAACACAATGGAATTATTAAAATCTAAAATGTTTAGGTACTTACTGCAAGTAGGAAGCGCTAGGTAGTACAGATGAATCTTTCATTTCAGAGAATATTTTCAACAACTCTATGCTGTTCCATCCTTTATTTTGCAGGTACAGTTGGAGCAACATGTACAGTTTCTCTGTCACATAGCCGCTAAACGCTGAGTTAATGTCGGTCGGAAGTCCTTTAGGAACTATATTTTTCATCGCTTCAGTCAATGCAATGTCCATTTGATTCGTGCTAAAACAAATAAATCCAAAAAAAAGTTCATATATTGTCTTTTTCGAATATTCGACAGTTGTCGTGGATGATGCAGTCCGTACAAAGTTAATCGGCGTTAGGAAAGTGCGCCAAGATATTCACTGATGATAAGTACTAGACAATAAATAACAATAAGCGTTTAGAATACATTACGTATGGCAGAGCATTATAAAAATTGAATGTTAATAGTCTAAAAAAGTAATAGTAGAAAAAAAAATACCAGAAGAGTTGATCTTGATGACTGAGGGAGAAGYAATTGTTTTATTTTTATTTTTTATTTTTATCAAAAGAGATAACAAAAATAAACGAAACATCTGTCTCTGTTCCATGCAGATAGAACTTTTCCATGAACTTTTAGGTTATGATCACATCTTGACGTTCTCGGGTAAACATAAAAATTGTTAGCACTAGCAGGGCAATCAAGCACTCTTTCGTTCGGTTWTAGCACTTTGTGTATGTTTACGCGACAAAATGGTAAGTTTTATCCTTTTCAATCCTATTATACTTTAATGGATTTACTATTTAAATCACAACAATACTAAATCCGATCGATTTTGTAACGAAATATGCATCGATCGTTTATAAATTTTATGTAAGAAAGGTATTAATGATTTGTGTTGTTTTTTTTTCGTAGACGAAAGTCAAGTGCTCAGATTTGCGTCTTAAGGACAAAGAATCCCTATTGAAACAACTCGAAGAATTGAAACAGGAATTAGCCAATTTGAGGGTTTCTAAAGTTACTGGAGGTACAGCATCGAAACTTTCCCGGATGTAAGCATTAATATATTTTATTCTATCGTGCTCGCGTTAGTATCAATTTAGTAATATCGAATTGAAAAAACCGCTAGTTACTATACTTTTTATATCAATTTCTGGTTATTGCAACTCTATATTAATTTCCAAGAATATATTATAATTTTATAATTTAGAATTAACAAAATGTCTTGTATTTTAGCCGTGTTGTCCGCAAAGCAATCTTACGTTGTTATGTTGTAATCCATCAAAAACAAAAGGAAGCACTACGAAAAATCTTCAAGGTATGTTTGAATATCTAAATCTGTTGTAATGTTCTTTATAAATTAAAAATTTTGAAATTGTTACCTTTACTCGAGATAGGTAGTTGGTATTATTAGTTACTACTGTGACAACTAAAATACTAGCTTTCAATCTTATATTTTGTTATTTACCATATAAATATGTCTCATTCTGCATTTTATGATCAATATTCTTGCCGTGTGGCTAAATTTTTTTAACACCATCTTAAGTTATAATTTTAATAATTATTTCTTTGATTAACTCATTAATAGACAGCCTATATTTGGTTTTTTCTGGAAARATACCAGATTAACATCATTGCTAAATGATTGCTAMTATTGAAATTTTTTAGAAAAACTAAAAAATATTTAACATAAAATAACTAATTATTCAGTATTATTTTGTCATTGACTATGCTTAAGAATTTAATTGGTAACAAGTCGTCCCTATTAATATAAAACTCTTGTATAAAACCTCATAAAAACCCATTTGGACATACGGATTGCAGCTATGGGGAAATGCTAAAAAGTCAAACCTGAATAAGACTCAAGCTTTCCAAAATATGACTTAGAGGAAATTATTTAACGCTCCTCCATACATATCAAACCATACCCTACATTTAGATTGTAACTTAAATACTATTCATGACGAAGCTAAACGTTTTTATAAAAAATTTCATAACTGTCTATCCACTCATTAAAAACTTATCATCCCTCACAATCCCAGGTAGCCCTCCAAGGCGAACTTAAATGTAAATGGTGCAGAGATTTATTACTTTAAATAATAACATAAAAGATATAACTAAATATTTAATATATATATAATTTAAATACCAACATATAACTAAATCACTAAAGATATAGATTGTATATTTTCTTCTAAAAATAAAAATAAATTTTTGTCATTGATAGCTTCCTACCAGCTTTTAATTTAAAGATGGTGAAAACTCCCTACTTAATCATTATTGTCATTATTTTTAAACTGTTTTTACATTACTACTACAATTCTAAGTAATATTTGAAAGTGTCCCTCRAAAATTAAGTTATTTTCTACTTCATTAATGATAACCTAGTCCATAAACATGTACGTCTTAATTATAAATCTTTGCACACCATTTTCAAATAATTGGTCTATTTATATATTATTAAATTATTTAGGATCTTTGATAACCTAATAATGATGATAGTGCCTATCATTAGCATAACAAGTCGCTTGGTTTCTTATTCCTAGTGTGTTCAACAAAAGTCACCTTAAATATTTCTTAGTGTTAATGTCAGATTATAATGTGAGAAATTAATATTCTAAAAGAAAGGGATTCATCCTTTTTGCAATGTTGGCCAGCTATTAAGGAATGACAATCATTTATCAAATTGTATCAGTTTCTTAAATAGATGCTAACAACAGTTATTTAATTTTGATAATTATTAATAACTTCTAGAATATGATATATTTAAAAAAATATTACTAAYTTATTAATAGTATTTACTTATTCTAAGTAATTTTTGCGGCATTTTGAGTTGAATGATTATTATATGATTTTTTTGTTATATGCACAATGTGAATATCAACTTTTCCTATTTCTACTTAAATTATACGTTAATCGTTCCAAGTCATATTGCCATCTGATAAACATTAATTTTGTAATCTAAAGCTTTCTTACTATATTTAAATAACACTTGTTAACTATCTACTTTTGGGATGTACACTTTCCTGAATATAGGTTATAATTAATTTTTTTGACTGGAAGTTATATAGTCCATAGTTGTAAAGCAATGCTACTTTTTTAATACTATATAATCTAGTATTAATAAATTTATTTTAATTTTTCAGAACCGTAAGTACAAGCCTTTGGATTTGAGGCCAAAACTTACCAGGGCAAAGAGGCGTGCATTGACCAAGAAGGAACTAAGTGTTAAGACAATGAAAGAAATTAAGAAGAAAAATAAGTTCCCCCCTAGGATCTATGCAGTAAAAGCTTAAGTTCTGTTATACTGACCTTAAATAAAAAAATAAAAAATCTGTTTGATAATCATCTTGTTCTTTATACCTTTTATAATTTTTGCATAAAATAATATGCTGTATTCTACTCACCTTGTCATGCCTCTTAAAGAGGCTTCAAATTAATGCCCTATTATTTGTGGTTTCTAAAAATTAAATCAGTCCTGTGGTTGGATGAATCTATCATATACCAARGAATAATATCCAATTCTGTTCCTGGTATATTTATCACAGTCACCATTCATTATTTATTATTTAATACATCATAAATAGAGTGCAGATTTATATGCATTGGAAATCAATCGAATATGCATTGAAAAATTTATTTTTGGAACATAATTAATACAATATATTATAAATAAAAATTATTGAACAATACTAAAAACACTTTTCTTTATTTTTTCCACTTTCGCTATTTTCAGATAGCTTTAATTTATATATAAAAAAAGGATTCAATTTATATCAAAAATGTCTCCTAAAATAAATGTACTTACCTATATTTTGATATTAATCGAAACAATCGAAACTATAACAACAACATTTTTTTTTCTTAGATTATAATTGAAAATAGTATAAATTTAAAAAAATTTCCAATAAAACAAAAAAAACATCAAAATATGCAATTAAAATTGTAAAATATGCCCTTAAAATAGAATAATGACGAAATATGCACTAACAAAGTTTCATTTTTTAAATCATTATGTCATGAAACAAATTTTGTGCTCACTTAGCATATCATAAGATCAACCAGAATAAATATGCAAATGCATACAAATCCTCGCTATAATCATAAATACAAACTCAAGAATAAATTGTCATAAAAATTCTGCAAGACACGAGTAAAAAAAAAAACGGTTTCTGGAAATAAAGGTGCGGTGATACTTATCACATATAGTTAAAAGTATAACCAATACAGTACAATTTATAATTTTTTTGATAGTATAAATAAGCAATTTTAATACATTGTATGACACAAAATTCTATCATGAAGATTGTGTTTAATAAATATTCTCAGTTAAATCTTAGTACTTAAAAAATCATCGTAGTTGAATATAATATTGACATCCGTACTGCCATACGCCCTCAAGAATATTTATCATGGATACGCCAAGAACATTTTTCGATGCCATTATAAATCTGTAGTTGTATATTATATGCTCTTGAATTTGAAAAAGAATAAAAAATATTAAAATTGTGTTTATCACATCAAAAAAATTGCTATTATTCCCACAACGCCACAGTGTATTTTCAAGATCATTTTAGCGCCACAGAAAAGTTATTTAAATAAATCCAAATTAATTTACAGCTACCCACTAGTATGGCCTTCAAATGATATGGTGCAGCTGCTGACGGCCGCATGGCAGTCCATTTGTTAAGGTGTAAGGTTGACAGATGGATTGATACCAACAAGCCTATTATAGTCATTAATTTGAAAATATAATGAAATCCTTATACATTTATTTTGTTTATATTTTACTCAATGTGTATGGTATTCTATTTCTAAAAAAATCCTTAAAATAAGTGTTTACTCGTTCAAAGTAAAGTGTGAACCTAACAATTTGAACTATCCAAATAAACTTAATGAGTTAGTTCAATAAATGCTATTTATGATTTATCCATTAATTATAAGGAATCATAAATATTAAATAATATATACATATTTTTAAAGATAATAAAACAAATAAATATTTGCATTATAACATTATTTATATTATAATGTTAAAAAATAATCAAGTCAACAATTATACCCTTTTGGTATTATGAATTAACAAACTGGCATTAATCATTAAAAACATGTTGATCATAAAAATAATATTTTAATTCATGTACGTTGAGTTGACAAATAATCACATATAATTTTGCATATTAGTCAATATATAATCTTATTATTTTTTATTTTTATTTGACAAAGCATTATATTTACAATCTGTATTTACAGTTATACAATAAGTACATGTGATGATGATTGATTGGCAGAAAAGGACGGCACCCCGTGGAAAGTGAATTAAGGAGAGACTGAGAGAGTAGGTCCCTACACCAGTTCCTTATCAAACGCTTGGGTGGATTACCTGGAATTTGATTAGATGAAAGTTGGATGATTATAGGATTAGAGTGAGTACTGAATGTTTTATGAGTTTTTTTGTAGGTGATTTTGGCAAGGCTGGAATGCAGATGTCTTTATGAAGTGACTTATTGGTATTATACCAAGGAACAAAAATCTTATTTACACAAATATTGTATATTGTGTGCAAATCTGTTAATACCAAAAAATCAAACCCACAAGTATGTATTAGACTTAGGCACTTGGCATTATAAATATTATATGATAGAATAGATCAGCGGTTCTCAACCTGTGGTATGCGGAAAGCTCATAGGTGGTACGTGAGGAATATCTACCTTTATAAAAAATTAATTTATTAACAAAATTCTATACACATAACATAAACGTATACATTATTAATAAGCGAAAAAATTGTCAGGTRGTACATAAAAATGTTCAAATTGTGTAGGTGGTACGTGGCTATAAAAAGGTTGAGAACCGCTGGAATAGATGATTAAAATTATATCGATATTGGCATAAATAAATAATTTGTTAAAAATTAAATATAAATGTAAATACTCATTGTCCACACACAAGCTTAATTAATTATAAACAGCAATTTAAAAGACTGAAAGGATCACGAGTTATATTTGTGAGTATTATACATATATATTTATCAAGAACTTGATTGATGATCAGCTGGTTTTAATGCAAACATTTCAACTTTATACAGTTCTGATGGAAAATTTTTTTGTGTTCTGCTTGCTTTACATATTAAATTTGCTTGCTGGAATATAATGCAGAACTGTATTAAGCTCCTCGTTATCGAACTGTCTTCTGAATCTACTTCTCCTTCATCGTTTTGAGAAATATTTTCTTTAACAACTATAATGCCATTTGTATTTAACAATTTACTAAAACAAAAATCAAATACTGTATAATTAGATATTACTTAAGCCCAAAACAAGATGGAAGTACAAACATCAATTCCTCAGTAACTTTTATTTTTAAAAAAAAATTGAATTTTTCTTACCTACATTTTTTTAAAAACTCTACCAAATCAACATCTGTAATGTAACCAAGAACCCACTGGATCCATATAACGTCATATTTTTGATTGTCAGCAGGCGTGAATTCCTGTAATCCTGAGTAAAGTGATCATAGATATTATTATTCACTCCTTAATCCTTCTATGACAAATTGTGTAACACAAACCAGAACAATAAAAGTTTTCTACATTAATCCCTCGACATTTTTGTTTGGCTTTCTCCAAAAACTTTTCGTCCTGTTCCAGCATATCAACACATTTGAAGTGTTTGCACAAGAGGTTTTCGGTTATTCTGCCAATGCCGGCCCCGCAATCTAACACTCGACCATTGGATGGTCCGTCTTTCATTTGAAACAATTTCTTAAGGAAAAGCTCAGAATCYTTGATGTCCTTATTCGTCAAACTGGAGAACCCGCCGAGCATACCATTCACCGAAGCTGGGATATTAGACCAATAGTTTTTACTCTTCTCGTAATCCAATTCATCCATGCTTACAATCCACCAGTGTCGATATCGTAAGTAAACGTAGAAATATTACTTTTTGACACGAAATTCCAGTAAAAATTAAACAATTGATATAAATTAGTAATTTATCCAGTTCATTGGATATCATTTGAGTTTTAAAGCACTAAATCTACAGCTTAAGCACACATACAGGACGGATTTAAATAATCATTCTTTAGACTTAAATACAGATTACAATTATAATAAAATATTAAAAATTGAAGTACCGATATCGAACTAGTGCAAACTACTATATTACTATAATATTGATAGTTGGCAGTTGGTAAAATAGAATGCAGTAATATAGGAGATACCTATATTATACATTTATTTTATACCTAACACGTTTTATTTTTAAAAATCCAATTATGTAATCAATGCTGAATGTATTCATTATAAATTATAATCATAGAACCTTCGACCATATAAGCCATGACAAAATAGATCTATTTTGTCATGATATAAGCTAAGCTATTAGCTTATATGATCTAAGCATAGAACAGTAATAATATTATTCGGAAAATGGTAGTTGTCAGAAAAATGATAAGAGTGGTTACCCGGCGGTAAARTATAATGGTTATACCACARATTATATAAAACCAGATGGAGCACTTCTTCGATTTACTGATAACACGAACCTACCTCAAATCAGTAGGGTCACATAAGAGAAATAAATTAATGTACAACAACTTTTACCATAATTTTTAACTATCGTATCAAATAATATTTAATACATAATAATAATAATATTATATTATATGTACT